TTGTTTTGGAAAATTTAAGCAGTTATTATTATGTAAATTTGCAGGATATGACCGGTAGGATACTTATGACCGCTACTATACATTGTCATCGTCACATTTAAGGATATCGTTAGCCTATGACGATTTTATGAGTTTACTTGTATTCCGTTGCAAATGAGTTAATACTCGACGCCAAGAGAAGAGTTGATACTTAAATCGCTGAACTAAGAAAGAGTATAAAGAGTTCGATATGACGCCAAGCGAAATATTAATAACACTACACTCGTTGGGTTAAGCTTCCCTGAATCTTAGAAGGAATACGTATAGAGAGTCGAGAATATTCGTCTAGACATGTGGTTATCGTGGCGACTCGTATACGTAGCGGCCAATACAATTATGATTCGCATAATCTAATCACACGGGCCCATGCTGAGAACCCTCAGGAATAGCCCAACTGGCTACACTTTGTCGCTCCGCGCTGAAAAAAAAAACAACTTGAAATTACATATCTATTGAGTAACGGCGTTATGTGGTTTCAACAACTCACGTGTCAAGTAAATTTGTCCCTCCAGTTGGAAGCCCTTCCGAAGAAGTGGAACCACTGCACCTGCCACGTATGTCCTCTCGCTCTGTACATTTGCAAGATGCGGAATTCCAGTCTTAACTAAATCCTCTTCCGATTCTTCCCAGGTATCTAAATCCTGCTGCAAAAATTCACAAACCCGCCAATTGTACATTGCTGTACAATAACATCTTTTACTATTTTTTTCTGGCCAAATAAAGTTTCACTACCATTCTTCCAAAACTGAAAACAGAAGAGAAGTTGTTCGTTGCCTTTAAACAATCGAATGTTAATGATAGACAAATGATTAGATAAGGTTATATTCCAAAATTTAGCATCAAAGTGTTAAGATCTAGTGATAACGAAGCGTTGTCACAACCCCCAATATGGATTTTCGTATGCTTCTGTGAAAGAACAGGAGCTTCTCATCAATGAATTCAAGTGTATGGTTTTAGAATAAAGTTTAGAAATAAATACTTTAGCTCAGCGTTTTTTATAGCAACTCATTGGGACGTTGTACAAGAGCAGTTTCACAAAAGATTACGCAAGTCATTTATCCGGATTTTAATTTGTACAAATCATTTATTCATTGATTTTCTAGAGAAGATAGCTGACAGTTATAACAAACATGACTTCAATCATCTTTGAGGATGAAACAGAAAAAAAGGT